AAATCATGCAAACCAGGTTGAGCTACCTATATATCTAGGGCCCATCTTGAACATTGGCGTATTCACTCTGGATAGATAGTCCATCTCCAACCAAGCTGCTCATCTTGGTCGAGCCTCCTTTGCCGTGTTGGATAACTGTCCGTTGTCCGGTTCCTGARTCAATGGTGTTCGTCTATTTGTTCAAAGGAACATTATCCTATCTCATCCTCGTTCCTTTCTTTCTTTTAATAAAATTCTCATTTTCAATAAAAATAGAACACCAATCTATGTGTGTTTTTTTTTACAAAAAAAATCTTGTGTATATGTATCATTGTACCATCTACAAATGCAACCTACACTATACATATGGAATATTGTGAACCAAATACGTAGTGGGCATTGCTTTATAAGATTAGCATTATGTACATGTCGATTTTAGATGATAATGAAAACAAAATAATATAAAAATAACTATTATTTTATCACACTTAATTTTATTTAATATGAGATGAATATAAAATCTTAGAGATGTGTTCAGTTATTTAATACGAACTAGTTATTGTAAATTTTCATTTTTTTGTCTTTTTTAAGTTTTATTATTTTGTTATGGCATGAAGGGCTAACACATTTTGTTTTGGGTCAGTTTTAAATTTTGTATTTCATCTCCACAATCAATGAAAGAAATTCTTATTTATCGCACATATTTTTCATTAATATGTAAATGTAAAATATTAGAGTTGGGTTTATGTTTTTCACAATTTTATTATTTTTTATAATTTTTGTATTTACTTCTATCTTAAAAAACTTATTATATAACTATGACATCATAGGTTGACCCATTTGAACCGAATGGTTGAATTATTATTGCTAACCCACTAGACAAAAAAAAAATCATTTTTTGGTTTATTTTGAAAAGCTTAGGATTTCTATTATTAAAAGTATTGGATATAAATCTAATTAGTAGATTTTATTGGTGAGAAAAAACTTTGAAATGTAGGATTTAAGAAGAGAGAATGTGAGTTAATTAACACCTTAGATATGAGATTTAATGAGATGAAAAATAGTAGTTCAAATTATATTTTCTGCTAAAAGGGTATCTTAATCAGGAAAAATTCCACATGCTAATTCTTACTTTTAATGGTAGTATAGATATAGATATAGGTAAAGGAAAATAACAACCCAACAGTCTAAGACATTAGAATCTTGCATAATACTTGGCCAATATGACTTTACAGGAAACCTGAGCTATTAGCTATGGAACATAGGTTTTTGATTCCATCCCTTTATAGAGATCGGATCTRCTCCTCACACCTGGCACCTCACATGCACATCCTACCATGCATTAAGAACATCTCCCGCACTTATTAATTATTATTCATGGGAGATGTTCCCAATGCACAATGGACGTGCATGTGAGGCGCCCATTTGTGAGGAGCAAATCCCGTCTCCCCTTTAAAAGTAGAATCAATTTTGCTCCATGCAGAAACAAAAGTTTTTTTTTTTTTTTCCTTTAAAAGTCTACACACAAATAAAATGCATATGACTGATAACCACTCAATCTCTCCTCTGAATTTATGACTGATGTAGAACCAAATTGATTGACCCACAGCCTATAAAACAGCTATCAATTTCACGCCTTCAGCATGGAAGTGTTAATGAGAGGCTTCCCCCTAACTGCACATCAAGAATATGGATGATATAAATTATAAGAGATGTTCCTACTATGTGGATGTGGATGGATGAACTTGACCAATAATGTATCGTGGTGAGCAGATCATGACACTTCACTTGCCTTCTTATTAGGGCATGTCTAATAATGTATCGTGGTGACCAATCCGACTTGCACAGCTATTACTACCACGTCTAGTTCTACCGTAGCTTATAGATTTTTCGGATTGACGGTTTGACATGCTGGGCTTTCGGCCTTTCCCACAGACCAGACCAAGGTCCCCACCCCCAACTTTTTGTTTTTGTCCAGTGAAAAGGCCAACAGCCTTCTGGGTCTTTAATGAGACTCTCTAATGGGCTCGATGTAGAAGCCCATGACATTAGCCATCCATATGGATTAGAGTGTAGGGCTCGCGTTGGAGGGCACCGTACACGTGGAGAAAGGTGTTAAGTGACAATGTGGGATCTGCTGCACTTGTTTAATTTGCGTAGGTGCACTTGGATTTAATATGTAACAAACATATCATTTCATTACACGTGTATAAATGTACAATCGGGCACCTGTCACGGACCGAATAAATATATAATTTAATAAATCACAGCAGAGCACATATTTGAGGTAGATATTATAAGTACAAGGATTGGGCACGGTTTGATACGATTCTGCCAACCGTGGTTAAAGTTGAACAGATGCGAAGCCTATGGAATAGGGATCGATGCAGCCTGATTTGAAGAATAGAATATGCACGGTATTGAGCCCATTCAAATTTTAATAAATACTTAGCTGGAACTTAATAAAACTTGATACTTAATTTATTTTTATGACCAGAGTTACACTTGCAATTCCTTACAGGATGTGGAAGGAGAGTGGTGATTTCCCCTTCAGAATTATAAGATTATTTACCTCAACATTCAAATTTTAATGAGGGAAAATCCTCTTTTTGAAAAATATGAAAGATAGAAAAGCTTAAGATGAATGTGGATGGGAGTTTTTTGTGTCTTAGTAGTTTAGGTTTTAGTGCAGTTCTAACSAATGATGTTGGTGCAGTCATAACTACACAAGGAGGAAGATATAGAAGTGGAATCAGACTATCAACTTTTAGTGCAGGCTCTAAAAGACGAAAAACTTGGAATTGGTTTCGAATGCAAACTTTCTATGTTTGGACGTTAAGCTACTGAAGATCTAATAAATTCTTTTAATCATATAAATAGATCTTGTAATGTTGCTGTTCACATGCTAGCCAAGAAAAGTCTAAAAGAACCTGAGTTGTTTGTCCAAGATCCACCTCCACCTGAGTGAATTCAAAATCTGACCAACCAAGACTTAATTAGACTTTAACTATTACATCTTTTTGTACAGTGTGACTGTTTTATTATTAATGATCTCATCTTGCTAGTTTTTACCAAAAAAAAGCTTAAATATATATAAAAACCTTGTTTCTGTTTAGAAGGCTATCATCGATTTATAATTTTTGACATCATCATTAATGAGACAATGAATCTTGTTCTAGCTACACACAGCGTTGAGATATCATATAATTAAAGTCCAAATCTGCTGACCACACTACAGCTGACCACAAGATGCTTTTGATGCGCAGCCATATCGATGGTCAGCTGTAGTGTCTGTGGACAGCTGTAGTGTCCATATCGAAAGTGTTATGGACAGTCATAAAATTGATATGGACTCGGACCGGTCCGAACAAAAATCGTCCATTCATAAAATGGACAAACCCCAAAGTTCGAACAGCCCACTGGTCCGTTCATTTTCGTTTGAAGTTTGAACGGACGTTTCACTTTCTCAAAGTCTAGGCTTTGGCGCTCCATCTCAAAGTCTCGCCGGCGGTATTTCCCTCTCTCAGCGCCTCTCACTTTCTCTAGCGAGCAGTAAAACACTCTCTCTTCTCTCAGSGCCCTATCACTTTCTTCAGCAGCGACAGCAGTCACAGCACTCCCTCTTCAGCGGCGACAGCCTTTCCTTTGACCTCTGCGATTTGTTCATTCAGGTATTTCATCTATCCTCTGTCATTAGAACCTAGCACAGAAATCACCATTCTCTCTTTCTTTGTTTGGATTTCAGGATGTTTCCAAAGGAAACGTTATGTGTTAGTTTGTGTTGAACAGATCACTTGTTATTTTATGTTTTAGAAATATAGCTTGGATTTTGTCTTCTACATTTGAAATAATTTATTTTTTCTCCTTTTTTTGTGTAATTGAGTGATTAACCATTATGATTTGAATATGTTTAATATCATTTTGTTTTTCAAAGTAAAACTATAGAGGGAATGTTTTTTAAATTCTATTCATCAAATTAGTAAATTGATCCTAACAATGGGCAAGGGATTGTTATTGCTATTGGTTTTCACAACAATGGTAAACTAAGAATTTTGAAACTGAGATGATATTTTTTATAAAATATAAAATTTGGATTGGATTGGTTTTTAAATTTTTATAAATTTAAAATATTTTATAAACTGTGATTATAAATTTTTTATAAAATATAAAATATAAAACTAAGAAATTTTCACAACAATACTATTGGTTTTTAAATCTTTCTTATATTTTTTTATTAAATACTTGCTTATAAAATTTGGATTGGACCTAGAGTTGTAATGGTTTATAGTGGTCTAGGTTGGGTTGAAGTTTTGAACCAATATCTAGTCTATTGATAGAAGATAAGAGTGGGGCTGTGAGGCTGTCAATGGACCAGGTGTGGGTTAGATACAATCTGAATTAAAACCAAATTGAACAAGTTAGAAAGTCCAATAGGACAGTGGATTGGATTGGACCCAATCCGATCCAGGTTGAACATATTGACAGCGATAATTCAATGGATTGGATTGGACTAGTCCATTTTTTTTTTCCTATTTTGTATTGTTTTGTGACATTATCCACGCATTTGCAGCTACTGACATGTAATTGGAAAATCTATTCAACCTTGACAAAAACATGCCAGTAGCAACTTTTAGTTTCTTATGGAATTTTGGAACTTAAATATACAACTGCAAATTGTCTTCTGTATTGTAATAGAAACTTCTTTCAGTAGAGCCTAAGGTTAGAACTTAGAAGTACAAGATGGTGTCACTTTTCTTTTGAAAATAGTCACACCCTTCCATATGTGCTGTGTTCTGTGTTTCATTTAAATCCATCTAATGCTGGAGATGGTTTGACTCTCCCTATATGCTCAATTTATACCAAAAGAATAATATCGAAATTTAGTTATCATTTTGATTACTATCTTGTTGACTATAGAATATAGATAGTTATGACATTTTCCTATCTACTGCTCTAAGTTTTATCAACTGTGCTAATTTAAGTAGCCATGCAACAAGCTTGCCCTAATCCCTTTACGACAATGCTAACCATATCTAAGCATCAAGTTTCTTAAAGTTCTTCAAGAACATATTTCCCCTCAAGCTTTTGTTATTCTTAAAGTTCTCTTAATCTTTTTTTTTTCCCTGTGACATGCTCTCTCTGTTCTGAGTTTGAAAATCCTGGTGATATTTCCAATTTTCTCAAATGAGATTTCGTTTCAGTTCAGGTAATTTGATTAATAGAAAGCTTGTGAATTGAATACACAATTAAAGTATAGTCTGTGGGCGTGAAATTACAGTCACTAGTTATATTTATTTGAAGTAATTTTGGGTTTGAGTTGTTGTACAAGCAATATACATTTGGCCTGGTCCGGGATATTTTTTCAGGTGAAAAGGACTTGCTTGATCGGATGTTGCTGCAAGCAGCAAAGTTTCACTCTAAAATATTGTAATCTGTTGTTCAAATAACATTTGCAAGTGGACAAAGGATGGGATATGATTTTTAACTTTCTTCTAACCAATTGTGAGTTGAGGAATACTGAAAATAATAAATAAAATTGTGACTTAGGAGATAAGCCTGATCCTAGCTTCCAATTCTATGGGGCCGGGGGGGGGGGAATCCTGGGGAAGAGCACAGCTGCTGAAGCAAACACCAGGTAATTTGGTCCAATTTTCTCATACAAGGTTCGGTTCTTCATAAGAGATTTGGGGGCATTTTGATTGAGAGAGGTTAATTAGGAAGTGGAATCAGTTCAGGTAAAACATAGGTGTTCAAATCATCGAGGACATTTCTTGTTAAAAAGAGATGGTGGATGTTTCTAGTAGCTGAAATGGGATTTCTTGGTTTGCATTTTCATGTAGTTAAGTTCTGTTGTTAGCTTGTTTTGTGTTTTTCCAATTGGATTTGTGGGGCAGAATTTGTTAAACCTTGTGTTATCTTTTTCTCAGTATGGGGTAACACCAAGCCTTGTAATCTTTCTTTATTTTATATTTTAATGAAATTTTCATTAGAGATCAGAAATCCAATGCTCTAGTAGAGTTTGCTCTGGTTCTTATCTTGCATATTCAGCTTTTATTCTTCTCATCTTCACCATTTCTTACAATATATTCTTCCTTACAGTTATCAAACCATCTGTGGATGGAACAGAGTCTGCTCCAACTCCTACTGTCTTCTTCCAATCATCCTATTTCGTTTTTTGGTTTTTGATGAACACCCCTGATTCCAACCATCCTATTTCTAGCTTACATACTTGTCTGAGTATTCTGGGCTAAGCAGGTCTGACCAGACATTCAAACCATGTTTACCTATTAACACACCCGACAGAGATAGTCAAACAAATGGATGCAGTATTCCTGATTCATCTGGGTAAGTAACATATGGTCCAGAAACTTGGGCTATTCAACTGACTGGACCAGGTTTACTGAGAATGTTCCAAGAATTACCAACCTTTATGCATTCATGCTGCACCACTTATATGAAGTCCCAAAGTCAAAAAACATGGCCGACTGAAATGGGAAAGAGTCGTCCTTTCTGGTGTACGTGTTGCAGAAGACCATAAGTCACAAGTGACGTTAATGGTAATGACCCACAACTGAACCGACCCAGCAAATAGAACCTTAAAATTTGACCCAACTGCTTTCACATGTAAGTGGCCCGGTCCAATTCAGACACTTTCTCTTTGTCGATTGCTTTCAGATCAGATGACGCAGTAAACTGTTTACGTGAAATGAAATCAGTTGACTTTTAAGTAAGGAAAACATTTAATTTGGACTGGATTGGGTTCAATCTGATCCATTTGCATTTCAATTGGACTGGACTGGATCCGATTTATATGGGGTTTAGACCAGATTTAGTCCAATTCATTTGTAAATGGATCAATGTTGAACTGGACCGGATTGGATCAAATTTAGTTCAATTGACAGCCGTCATGTGCTGCTGTAAAGTGTCTTGTGGCCAGCGTATACATGATTCCAGAAAGAGTTTCAGTGAAGTAGTGTTAGGTGGAATCTTATTCCACCAAACCTCCGTTGCTAATGGAAAAGTGGAAAGCGGTCGCCTCAGGTGTAAATCATGAGTGGGTGGGTGGAATAAAGAGGCTCACCACACCACCCACACCTCATCGGTACCTCACAAATGGACAAAGCAGGGTGAGAGGGGCAGTTGGCCCAACCCAACGTGCCCTAACTGAAAGGCATGGGTTACTAAACTCAACCCAACCCAACCCAACCAATCGATAAGGAGCTTAGGGCTGCAAGTCGGGTTGAGACCAATCCTAACTCAATCCTATGTTCTAAACCCTCAATCCTAACCCTAACCCAACCTGACCTACTCAACCCTAACCCTAACCTAACTTGACCAATTTTGGGTTGGTCCCAACCCAATCTTCCCATCCTTTAAAATCTAGTAAAAAAATAAGTATTTATTTATCATGAGTTATGACCTATGATGGAATTTTTATCAAAAATATAAATTCATAAAATTAACAATAATGAAACATAAAATTATGGAAATAAAATCATTAATAACAATTCATAGGATCAAGCAAATAATTTGAATCTATTTGATAGGTCATATATAAAAATTACACAACAAAAGGAAAAGACAAGTAGTAAAGTACCTGTGAATAACTTAAATAAAGAAAGGCATGATAGTATGTAGAGAGGGTTATACAATTATCATGCATCTAAACAAGTAAGTGTATATATATGACATGTAGTAGAATTGTAGACTAGTAGTCTAGTACTATAGGGGATCAGGTTGTTCGAGGGGTCAACCCTAACCCAACCTGAACTAAGGTCGGGTTCAAGAATTTTAACCCTAATCCTAACCTGATCATCAACTCGACCCAACCCAACCAGGTTTTTTGGGTTGGGTTAGGTTTGGGCCAAACCCGACCCAAATTGTAGCCCTAAAAGAGCTTTTACACGAAGGGGATCTGCTCCTCACAAATGGGCGCCTCACAGTTACATCCACCGTACATTAAAAACATCTCCTGTAAATAATAATTAATACGTGAGATATTCTCAATGCATGGTAGGATGTGCGTGTGAGTGTGAGGAGCAGATCCGGTCTCTTTACAATGGTTTTGCATCACTCGGTGGTTTATTTGGTATAGGCTCACCAGGTTTTGACACCAACGTGATCCCCTCCTTCACCAGGGTTGGGGTGGGCTACTCATATTGTGTACGGTGTACCTCCATTATTTCCCTTAAAAATTAAAAAATAAAAATTTTAATCAATCAAAAACCCCCGAAATTTTGAACGAGTACCAGCCTACCAGCTTTTTAAATTTGATACTACTTGAATCGTCCATGTAATTTTGCATTGGGATGAAACATTGCTTTCAACCATGAAAGCGAGCATATCAGCTTCGAACTCATAAGACCATACTCACAGTTCGCACAGTAAGGCAAGGTTTTTCAAACCTATCCAGAGAACGAATCGATCAGAGGTCCGGTTCCTAGGTCAAATGGTCTGACCATTTAAATCGAATGATTGGCTTGTTTTAATAAAAAATAAAAAATAAAAAGGAACGGTTTAAACAATTCAATCGGTTCAATTGCCCGGATTAGCGATTTGTTAATCAAATCAACATTTTTTTTTGCAAATATCCGTTTTTGAAGAAAAACAAAATTAATCACCTAACCGATTCCCGATTTTTCCAATCCAACTGTCTGGTCCAATCCGGTTTAGAAAACCATGCTGCAAGGGACTGAAGTAAGGATGTGAGCACTGAAGCCGATTTTGAAACAGATGGAGAGAACCAAATCCAGATTCTTGAGGGTCGGTGTAACAAAAGGCCATTTTGGAAGGCTTCAGCTTTAATTGAGTTGCACTTATCCACGTTGAAGAAGCTATTAAAATTAGCTTTACCAAAAAAAAAAAAAAGATTTAGTTGCTGAATTAAAGMAAATTCGGTCTTTCTGGGTTTTTGGCCAAAGATAACTTATAGATTATGTATAGGGAGCTTGGATCTCCTACCCACCACAGCAATCCTACCCATAAGATACTATGGCTGTACATTGGGAACATCTCCCGTGTTTAAATGTTTTCATTCATGGGGGGATTTTCCCAATGTACAGTTGTAGTGTTCTGTGGGTAGGTGGTCAATTGGACTGGATTTGATTTAATCCGATTTAGTAAATCCAGTCCAATGTGAGTTCATTACAAATGAAACAAGTTCAATCTAATCCAATGAATATTTTCAATCAAACCAATTCAATGTCTGGACCGTTCAAATTTGTTTTAGTATAGATTAATTTTATCTCAAACCTGACACGTTGACACTTATATTCTTATCTTCTATATCAATGAATCAAATATTGTCTCAATCCAACTCAATCCAACATAAATTCATTACGGATGAACCAGGTCCAATCCAATCCAATAAATACCATTAAGTCTGGACTGGTCCAATTCAATATGTTTTATTGRTCCATCCAATCCGTTTAAATTGATTTTAGTTTGGACGGGATCCAATCCAAAACCGATCTATTAACACCCCTAAGTATTCTTGTAGGTAGGAGATTCGGATTCATTTATGGATCCACCTTACAAAGCCAGAAGATACTGTTTGCCCTCCCGAATAAGAATTAGGTAGAGTCTGAGGAACATTATTTCAAGTTGTTTGGAGCTGAAGAATGAATTCAACAAAGGTAAAGGTCTAAGCTACAAACATGTGTATCGTGAAGTGAATCAAGCTGCAAACTGTTTGGCGCATGATGCTCAAGTTTGTTTGTCGGAGATCCTTCTAGTGAGTTTAGGTAATCTTCGAAAAATAAACTATATATACCTAACATTCTACCCTTTTGAACTCGGAAACTCGGCCCACACACCAGGCACCCACCCATATATTGCTGAGTCGAGTTGATGCGAAGGATTCAAATAGAATTAACTAAGAAAACATAGCATGCATATACAAGACAAGTAAAACAGTAGAGATGTACATACCCATACAGTATTCGCTTGTTGCCTTTGGGAAATGCTTGCTAATATCTATCACAAAAATGTTTTGAATTTATTCAATTAACCTGTAGCTATGTCATGGATTAATTGAATGTGGCAAAAATAATACCATCAATATATAAAGGAGGCAAACTAATGAAAACCGTACAAACTACAGAATTAGGTGTGTTGTATGGGAAAGGGAAATTACTATGCCCTTTTATTTCATTTTCTAATTTACTTTTTAGGTTTTGTTTGCTTTTCGGTAAGTTATTTACTTAGGTAAGTGTTTTTTAGGAAATACTTAGTTGAGTAAGTGCATTTATCCATGTTYTTTTATTTCTCAGGTAAATAAGGTAATATGCCTATTTTAGCTTTAAAAATCCATTATTAAAAGGGGCATTTTGTCCAATTCAAGTATTGACAACTTTCCCTAGGTGGAAAAGTTATTTACCTACCCAGGAAATGGATAAGTGATACCCAAGAAAAATGAACTTTCCCTAATAATTCCTACATAAATTTCAAAAAAAGAACATGAGTTTCTTGGTCAATGGGAGTCAAAATCCCATTGACTAATTTTCCCACTCTCAAAATTCAAAAAAAGAAAGCCCCCTTATTATATGAATTAATTTTGTAAATGAAGTTAATAGTAATCAAACACCACCATTGAATCTAGTTACTCACTGCTTGCTGTTCTTGGATGCATTCATTACACCCACCTCCCTTCAATTTCTCACGTCATATGTATTTATTTATCTATCATCTAAGCCTTAACCCAATTGGTTGGCTACATGAATCATTCTTTCCATTCTGTGCGGTGCCATATAAATTGTTACATCATGAGCACAGGTCATTTCTTACTTAGTTAAGCCCATGTCAATTATTATCTGCCCCTCCCCCTCTTAACCCCTTCAGTTTACAACATATCACTTCTTCTCATGGATGCTATAGATTCATCATCTTTTATATACATAATCATATCACATCTTAATATACTTTCATTTTAACACCTCTTAAAGCTACTAAGTTCCTTTAAATAACTTCATTCGAAGTGAACAAGAACTTATATGAGGGAGGTTTCTTGCCCCTTGGGCCTTGGAAAGCCCACTTCCCCAACATTACTTTGATTGATTGGAAAATTGGTATTTGGATATATGCTGGCTAGGCCAGTCATTAAAGAGAAGAGTCCAATCTTCACAGTGGACACACGATCGACCAAACTTGCTGGCTTGCTGCTCCTCCGGCATTTATAAGCTTATTATAAATATATCGAGGGACATACCGTCCAGATGATATATAAGACGAAAACCGCTTGCTATCATGAAAATTCTGCCAACTGTATATATCCTATCCATGGTGCTTTTGCAACTCAAGCCATGCCCTAGGCCACTTGTTTGGGGGTTGGTTTGGTGATACGTTCCCTTGATGACGTCCATTGGACCCCGTCTTCACTATTATTAACAAGTAGGAACACAGAAAAAGGGGGTGGGGGGGGGTGGAGGGGTAGTGTTCATTTGGCGGACACCCTTTAATTTTCCACTTGTCAAAAAGTTCTGGGAGGAGCTCTCCTTAATTTTTTCTTGGTGTGTATATCACTCCTCAATCTTATTCAAATCAATAGTCTTTTCCTCTTGACTCTAATAATTGAGTGAGTTTCAAGTAGTTAGTTGTTTTATTTGTTCTGTTTCTATACTTTAATATCGTAATCACTGCATATGTATTTTATATAAAAAAGATGCCCATAAGCCATTAAAAGGGACCCTTTTTATGTTGTGTCAATTGGTTTCTTGAAACTTCATATTTGTTTTTTTTTTGGGGCGGGGGGTGGGTACGTGAAGAAGGTAATATCAATTTTCTTTTCGGCTGGGTTTGTAATTATTCAAGAGCCGAAAGATTCTTTTTCGATGCAAAGATGTGTTTGAATAAATTAAAGGAAGAATAGAAAGGACCCAGCTTCACGTTTGCTTAGGCTGTGTTTGGTTTATCAAAAGATAAGAGAGAAAGTGAAATTAAGTTGAGATCTATAAGCAGAGCCCGATATATAAACACGTATATACTAACATGAGGACAGGCCTTATCACATCCAATTTAACAACCATGTTTAAAATAAAAAAAGATTAGAGAAGAAGGAAAAAGTTACAGACATAGTCACCTACCTCTTCCTTTAGGTATAGAGTTCGACTCAAGTCATCTCGGGAATCCACCTTTGAAAATTTTCATTAGAAAGGAACCAAATCAACAAACAAAATAAAGTAGACCAAAAGTTTACTTACTCCAGTCACCCTCTACTACTATATAAGGAACCCCCTTCTCCAACAATAACGACACACATCTCTCTCTCTTTCTCTGTCTCTGGGTTTTAATTTGTGTGTCTGTCATATACGTGGTGGGACATGGCCACCACGGCAGCCGGCATCTTCTCTGTCGTCGTAGCATTGTGTTGCGTTGTGCCGAGCTTGGGCACTGTTTACACCGTTGGAGACGAGACAGGTTGGACGACGAATGTGGACTATAGCTCATGGACCAAAGGGAAGACATTTGCTGTGGGAGATTCCCTCGGTAAGTTGTAAACTAGTGCGTAGGGTTGATAATTCCAAATAAAACTCACAACCCTAGCTAGCTAGAGTTGGAGTTTCTCTATTTCCATTTCTTGATCAGATCTCCTCTTCTTCCGTCTATTAAACAATGAGTATGAGATTTGGTGCGTTTAATTAGGAAGGGCGTTGCAGCTGATTCATTCTCGTATTAACAATTTTAAGTTTGGGCCGTTTTGGCAGTATTTAATTATGCAGGAGGAGGTCACACGGTGGATGAAGTGAGCCAAAGTGACTACACCAGCTGCACAGTGGGCAACGCTATTAGCTCGGACAGCAGTGGGAAGTCGACGTACACGCTTAAGACAACCGGAACTCATTACTTCATCTGTGGAGTGCTGGGCCACTGCGGGAATGGAATGAAGCTAGCAGTGACTGTGGGGGATGGAGCAACCCCAACACCATCTACCTCCACCACCACTCCGACATCGCCTTCTACTACAACCACCACCACCACCACGCCCACTACCACCTCCACTACTACTTCTGCTTCTTCTTCCACCTTCCTTTCTCCATCCATCGCTATCTTACTCACCTGGCTGGGATTGCTCAAGCTGCTTCTCTCCTAGGTTAGCCCACGCTACACATTCTAGCCAGGAAGGAGGCAGTGCTCTCTCTCTTTCTCTTTCTCTCTCATTAGATCTGAGTTTACTGTTGCAACCGAGGAATGTTTGTATTGTAGTTTCCTTTAATAATTGAAATGAATTGATGAGGAGATGATGTTAATCAAGGGTAATCCAATAGTGGTATGATTATGACTTTATGAGTGCTTGGTGAAAAAGTATTTATTTCTAATGGGGTTGTATAGTTTTTTTTTTTGGATACTATAAGTATTATGAAAATTATGTGGTGGGTGAAGGTCGGCCAAAAACGTAATAAGCACTTATTGAAAAAGAGGCTTAGGCCCTTGTTTGGTTTGCAGGAATAGAGGTTTGGAATGAATTATTCCGATTCCAGTTATTTGGTTGAGTTGTTGGGCAGAATTGAAATCTCATTTGAGGGAATAGTCATTCTCTGTCTTTCTCTTGGAAATGAAATCTCATTCCTGCTAATTCTAATTCCTATTCTTAATCAAACAGTCCATTTTGATTTTGATTTTGATTCGGACCACAAACCTAACATACTCTTATAAATAAAAAAATTTTGACTTCTTCAAAACGAGCTTATTTTCTGAAATAATTACTTATTTTACTTATTCTTGAAATGCATTTTTTAGTAACATTAATAATTCTTCTAGAAATAATGAGAATTGATAGGAGAATTGTAAATAGCATACGTGGCAACCGAACCACCACTCGGTTGGCGGTTATTGCTTTAATTTTGGGACAAAGAATCAATTAATCCAAAGGTGAGGATGATAATTTCTGTGTCGTCACTAGTCGGGATGGGGTTTGGTAAAAACTAAAAAGGGAAGGGAGTTGGTATGGCAGCAATTTCCCCTGTTCTGCATTATTAGTAGTGTGTGCAAATTAGCGTTCAAAAGTCGCAATAACTTTGGTACAAAGCAAAAAAGAAGCAGCCATATCTCATCTGTTGAAAATTATGTTTTTAGGAATCCCTTACTGCCCAAGCTTTTGACGTGTTCCCCGTTCAAATCAATCATCCATCCAAAATATTCTTCCAATTTTGTGAAAGCGCGTGAACATTCGAAAGCATATCAACATCTCATCACAAATCGGAAGAACCATTCCAACTTCCAAGAACCGAAGAGTATGGACTCCAACTGAGGATGGCTATCTATCTGTTAAAGTGAAGGGCCGGGGGATGCTTTTTCCTAACACTGATCAGGTTATATTTTTGTTCTGAAACTTTGGGTAGTCTGTAAATTCCAATGAACCCTAATTTTCTTTCTCACGTCAGTGGGGTGGTGGTTGTAGTCTTGTAGACTACAATTATTAATCCAAAAGCATCAAGTTTGTCATGATACATCAAGTTATCAACAACTCAGACTCCAATTGTCATAACTTGTATGGGCCCTTATAATAGTAGTGAGTAGTCTATACTCTATAGTATATATGTGAAAGTCATGCATGCAATTGAACGGCCGGYCCTACATGAAAGATGAAACACTCAACATGCATTCATGCATATCTTTCTTTTCTTAATTAAATTGCGTTCAATCGTAGGCCATACCATCAATGATTTGGCTTAGGGTTCCATAAGTGGTCAAGCCGAATTTAAGCCGAGTATCAATTCATTAGCCTGTCTGGTTTCTAAAACAATATTGCTTTCAATTGGGAATTAGGAATGACAAATTCCACCCCTCCATCTGCCCCTATCGGTCCAGGTATGTGTAGGGTACAGTATTAGGTTAAATTCTAGTCTCCCTCGATATATAATATATATTATAAGATATGCATATGAATTTATGTATTTATGTATTGAATTTAATAATATTTTGAATTTTATGTTCATATTTTATTTGTTCATTGGTTATATATATCAACATGAAATTAGATATGGATAGAGTAGGGCTGAGAGGGTTTTGCATTTTCATGTGTGGGAAAGAATTGGATTTTGAAAATTCAACCTGTTATAGGTTTTGCTGGAGGCAAAAAAGGTCTAAAATTTTCAAAACACTATTCTATAAATCAGGTGTTTGGAATAGTTTAATTTTCCCACAATCTTCAAATTTCTCACGCTAGAAAAGAAAGTGAATATGGATTTGCTGAATGCAATGGCTAATTAACCAACAATAATGCGCCATGCCAGCAGTAGAACCCATATACCAATAACCACCCAATCTCTCACTTTGAGTGCATGGCTGGTGTGGGGCTTTATTATTGAATTACATCTCTGGCCTAAAGCAGATTAGCTGAACTTGACAACTGTGTTATGGGTCGTAGGACCAATTATTATGCTCCACACAAGCCATAGATGAGAATTGAGACATTGATTGGTTGTGGGCCTTGTTTTGCTTGTAAGAGATCCCTTCTAATAGTACAGGGACACAGGGGAAAGAGAGCAGAGCGGCATAAACATGAGACCCGCTACTACTAGCCATAGCATGGAGAATCTGTGATTCTACGGGTTTGATATTGGGCCTATTATTTTTATTATTATTATTATTTTGGAGGGATGGTAATTGAGCATCTAGGGATCATAGACCAAAGTAAGTTTGCCTCAGCTTTTTATTGGTTTTGATCAAGTCCAAAAGCCCAACTAATGAGCTAAACAAATCTATGCTATGCCTGGCTTACCTTGGGCTCAACTCTGGCATATATAGTTGGTTAAGCTATCACATTTCTTCGGTTGGTAAGTTGGTTTTTCAAATAATGTACGCTTTTGAGCTACTATTATGCGTGCAAAATATTGGCACACGTTTAATATTGACATCATTGGGACTTTGGGACTGGTACTGTCATCGAAAGATGTTTGGGGATATATTGTGGGGTGGAGATGTGATCTACAACTTAATAAGCTTTCATTTGTCTTCTTCCTTTTTTTTATCCAATGGTTATAGCATTTGTGACATCAAAATCTAACAAAAAAATGAATTTGACAATGCTACAGCTTCCAACGCAATTCAAACCTTGATTATCATCAATGGGTTTGACAGTTGAAGTGGCTGACCCGAAAAACTTGTTTTTAGTTGCAAGAACTGAGAATATTGCTGACTTTCAGTGAATACAATTTTAAAGAAGTTTCAGGCTTCTTAATACCTGAATCTAAAGTTGTGTAAATCACATGTTATAGGGGATTTAAGGGGTGAAGACTGAGCAGGGTGCACGCAGGCAAACTCACCATATCTAGGGGTGTCAATGGACCAGTTTTGGATTGGACTCATTCAAACCAAAATTAATTTGGACAGATTAGACGGACCAATAAGACATTGAATTGGATGAATCCAGACTTAATGGTCCAAAGTATTTATTGGTTTGATTGGACCTGGTCCATTGATAATGAATTTATATTAAATTGGATTGGATTAAGCCAATATATGGTCAATTGATATAGAAGATAAGAATATAGGTGTCAAACTGTCAATGATCCACTTTTGGGTGAGAATTAATCTAAATTAAAACAAATTTGAACAGATTGGACAGTTCAAACATTGAATTGGATCAATCCAAAATATTCATTGGATTGAATTGGACCTGGTCTATTTATAATGGAATCACATTGGATTGGATTGAATTAGACCAAATTCAGTCTAATTGACACCTCTAACCATACCGCAAGAGTGCCTGCAGATACACCAGTTTAATCCTTTGAATATTTTTATTATTAATCAGGACCTGTGTGATGCACAGGTTCAGCTCTTTTAATAGAAAATTGGTCACATTTCTAGATTCAATTACCACCTGACCCATTATTTTTCAAAATTGAAAATATAGTTGATTTGATCAATGAACCGTTGATCCGGTCCACAGGTTGATAACTATTTTTCATAAGAGTAAATTACAAAGCCCCTGTAATATAGGTCAGTGAAAAAACATGAAATCAATAGGTCGTTCAATTCAGCAACTTAAAGCTGTTACTATACGGCCCTTTAACATTTATTAGTGAGTATCAGCTGGTATTAATTGATACTCATTCTGTATCAACCGGAAAATTAAGGAAAAAAAAATATAGAAAAAACAGTTGATCAGTAAAATTAGTATTTTTAATTCTTTCACCATTTTCTGAAATTTCCCAAATTATATATATCTTGGTAATTTAACCTCATATAGACTATTAAAATATGTATTTATTATGTTTATACTTATAGTCATCTAACCCTTAAATTGTCTGATTAATGCATTCATGAGATTTAATGAATTTCCTTAATGTCTTCATATGTATCTTAATCATTCGGGCTTGAGCTAGGCTTGGGTTGGTCAAGATAAGATTGGCTGAATTCAGCCTACCAAAGGGTTAGAAATGGACTCAACCCAAAAAATTTAAAATATTGCAGATTGGATTGATCTGGGCTCAGATTGGGCCCGCCCAAGTTGCACCAAGAAAACTGTCAGGAAGCTTTCAAGCATATCTTTGCAATCTGCCAACTGAACTCGTAGTGCTAATGAATTACATTAAGGCTCAGGAGTACAAATGCAAATAGGTACCATACAAATAGAGTCTAAATTGCAATTAATTTGCTGTATTACATGGACTTAACTTATAATTTTTTAGGGAATATAACAATATAATATTATTGCTATTCAAATCCAAATATGAATGCGACAACTAAGATTTGATTCATATCCAGACATTAAGGTTGTGTTTGGTTTGAGGAAAAAAGTAGGGAAAGAAAGGGAAAGGTTTTCTTGCAGCCAAAACTTCTCTGAGGTTGGAAGGAAAAACCTTCCTGAGGTTTCTGACAATCATAAAAATCTCCCTCAAGTAGTCAAGTTTCATTTTAACAAAAACCTACTGAACTTTTGGAAAATTCGACAAAAACCTCTCTTCTGTCACTGACCCAGATGAAAAATGTTTGACTAATGCACTATTTTTTTTTTTTTAAATATCCATTTTACCATTTATATGATTTCAGATAGAACTTCACTAATATAACCCTAAAAGAAATTTTAACTTGAATAACCCATTTGCCAATCCACTTCTTCTCTTTCCATCTTGGAGTTCACATTAGCGCCCCAAAGAGCACCTCATGGTATATCTCAACTGTGTTTAGAAGCCTCTTTCAATGACAAGGTGTTCCCAAAGTACCCTGAGATATTATGTGGGTTGTCTATGGGGCGTGYCCTATTGGGTGCTGATGTTATCTCTCCATCGCCTACCCCAGAAACTCCATCGTGTCAAGAAAAGATAAGCATTCAGCCACTGTAAAGTAGTGCGACCGTCAAGAATGGGGGGGATTGTAGTTATCTTCATTCTTGCAAGAAGTAGAAAAGTGTTCACAGATTGSGACTTGAAATCTCCCTATAATTACGAAAGCGCCCTGCTAGCTCAAAGTCGAGTTTCCCTGCAACCACAAGAAGCCACTTCCTGACATCCAAATTGGTGGGTTTTGGGGAAGTAGGACCGAAAAGTGAAATAGAGCTAGAGGCTTCTCCTTCTTGTGTGGTTACTCTGAAAGCATTATTCAGAGAAGAGGAGTCGCCTGACCAAAGAAATGCACAAAATGGATCTTCCAAAGAAAAGCCGATTCTATCCAGAGAGGTCAGCTATACATACAAAAAGAGCTCGCATGACGAATTTGAATTCTCAGACTCCCATTTTCCAAGTTCATGGTGAAATCACTGAAATGGATGTCAATTCCTCAAAGGACTTCAGTTTGAATGGAGATTAACAGAGTCTGTTGTAGCAGGTTGGTCTTCTTCCCTTCTAGACTTCAGTTTGAAGTAGCCTTCTTTTTCCCTTGTTCATTTTGAAGTGACTTTCAGTGTAATGAATTTTGCAGTGATTTCACTTCCAAATTTCGATAATGAATTTTGCAGAAATTTTGTAGAAATCAGTTGTTTAATTTAGGGGTGTCGGCGGTTCAGTTAACTGAATCATGGACAATTTTTTCAAATTGAACTGGTCTTACCAGTTTTTCAATTTCTCCAAACTGAAACCGAATTGGTACCACTGGTTAACTGGTCTGCTAGTTTCGATTTTTAACTGGTTCAGTTCTTTGGTTTTTTTATATTTATAATATATATTATATAAATATATGTATAATATTATATTATAAATAATAAATGATATATAATATATAATATATTTATAAATAGATTATTATAAATATTATATATATAATGCATATATATTTATATATAATATATAGAAAATATTTGACATATATTAAAAATATATAAAATATACACATAAATATATATGCCAGTCGGTTTAGTTAACTGTCAGTTTATTTTTTTTTAGATTAACTGAAAACCGAACCAATTCTTCGGTTTTCCAAAAAGACCAAACTGGTTGGTTTGATTAACTGCATTTTCTGGTTCAGTTCAGTTTTCGTTTTTTTATGAACACCCTTAGTTAAATTTGAGAACATCAATTCTTTGGGGATAAAAAAAGTTGAACTTCTCTAGTATGACGACACAATCTACTTTTTGTTAGTCAGATTATTATTAATGGCATAACATAAAATGCAGTCGTTGTAAACACAGTGGTTGTGAGAAGATCTTTTTGTATCCAGATTTCATTTTCTTTCTGAATTTGATTATAGTAAAAGCAGTTGTTGTAAATGCCTTGCAGGTCACAATGAACGCCCATGTTTCATTTGTTTTCAGCTATGGTGGTTGGATGCTTCATCTTTTCTTGACCAGAGTTTCAGGGGTCAGAGATTGAAAGAGGACGATCAATGGGTTATTCAAATTAAACGTTCTTTTAGAGTTATTTTAGTAGAATTGTATGCAAAATCATATGCAAAAGGATAAAATGGATATTTTAGAAAAAATAGTGCATCAATCAAACTTTTTGTCTATGTCAGTAATGGAAGGGAGGCTTTTGTCTAGTTTTCCATAAGTTCAGGGGAGGTTTTTTTTTTAAAGGGAGGCTTTTGTACTTTTACCCTTATTTCAAACCCGTGAGTGTTTATAGGGATGATCATTTTCAGCCAGCCCCAGAAATGTAGGCCCATTCCAATCCAAAATTTTTGGGGTTCGGCCTAGGTTTTCTGTTTAGGCCTGGCCCAGGCCCGGGCCCACATCAGGCTCACAAATTTTAGGGTCAAGCCTAGGCCTAATACTTCAAGTTTGGTCTGAGCTTGGCTTGCTTATTTATAAAGATATATAGTTTATAAATAATTTATACATATGTATATATTTTACTAGTCAGGACCCATGCAATGTACGGGACTTATTGTAAGAAATTGAGCTACTAGTCTCATATAATGCTAGAAGTCACTGTATGAAAACCCTCCCAAATAGGCACAAAGGCCTCTTTGAGCTAGAACTAGGATGGTTGAGCGTGTATAAAAGAAAACATTTTTATTATTTATGAAGCTTTAAGTTGTTATAGGACCCATTAGAAAAAAAATTATGTTATATTGTATGTTTTATATAAATAGTATAAGATGATACCTATAATACATATTACATATAATATTTTATATTACATAATGTAAAAAATAAATTATGTATGCATATTAYATAGCATAACATATAATATAATAATATATGTAGTATTTTTTAACATAAAAGGAAGATCCCTAATTAGGCCCAGGCCTGGACTTAATTTTCTGGACTGCAACCTGGGACGGACTGGGCTGGGCCAAGCCCAGGCTATAATCCTTATCATCCCTATGTATTCACCATTAATTAGAGGTCACATGTGACCATGGTCGGAGCAGAAATTTTTTTTTTTCTCTCTCACATTCAAATCCAGGGAAGCACAGGCTTGATGTATCTGTCTGCATGTGTACTCTGCCACCATTAATCTACCCGCTGAATGTATGCGTTGGGATATCTCAAAATTGTATCTATTTGATTCCGTTTATGTTTATTGAGTAAATGTTTTGTATTTATGTGGTTTTAAAATCAAGAAAAACAATTAATGAGGGCGTTTATGACACATAGGCGCCATTAGGCACCACATCAGAAAAGGTGCCAATAAATACTTACCCGTTGGGGAAGCTCCAAAATGAAGCTTCCTGAAACGGGAGAGGTGTACAGAAATTGATGTTTACTTTTGCAAACGACGATACGTAAGGATGCACATAATGAGGCCTTTACTGATGGAGCACCTATGTGGCAGCGTTTACTCAATAAACATAAACGAAACCAAACACATACGAGATGTATGAACACATCATGCCTGAAATGTCTTTTAGTGGGAGAGATATGGATTCCTAATATGAAATCGGATTTGCTACTCACATAACGTGTCTCACACCAACTTTACAATGCATTGCAGACATACATTAAGAACATCTCCTATACATTGATGTTATCATTCGTGGAATAGATCCGAACTCTCCTAATGTATAGCACGCTACCCTTGTGGGAGCCAAAATTTCATCACATGTACCAAGGGAAAAAAGTCATTTACCTGGAAGTGTTTATTGTGATAAGAGTAGACAATGATGAAGGCTTGTGTTTTTTTAAATTTTTGCTTTATTATTATTTTTATTATTTCTTCTTCTTTAAAAGAACTTCATACTATTTGAATGGACCAAGATCTTTCATATGGAAGCATCGACTGAGATACTCTTTGAATTTCATAATGGCTATAGTATCATTTCCCCCAACAATCAAATCATCAACATATATCAGCATGTGCAGACGAACATTGTGTTTGAAATAAGTGAACAAAGAGTAGTCAGGACACGATTGAACAAACCYGAACTGTATCAAGGCCACTATTAATTTCGAGAACCGATATCTGGGAGCTTGACGTAAACCATAGAGAGATTTCTTCAGTTTGCACACTTTTGTTCGATCCTTAGATGCGAAACCTGGCAGCAACTTCATGTATACCTCCTCATCCAAATCCCCAAGTAAGAATGCATTATGTACATCCATCTGATGCAACTCCCAGTTCTTAGTAGCAGCCACGACTAAGAAAGTGTAGACTGTCGTCATTTTGAACACAGGAGCAAAAGTCTCATTATAATCTAACCCCTCAACCTGTCTATTCTCGAGAATAACTAGGCATGCCTTATGCCGTTCAACCATCCCATCTGAATTATATTTGATCTTATAAACCCATTTACTCCTTATTGCCTTTTTCCCGGGAGGTAGAGTTTCCAATGTCCAAGTACCATTGTTCTCTAGAGCCTGGATTTCCTTTCTCATAGTTTCTCTCCATTTCTCACTTTTCATTGCCTCAGAAAAGCTGGTGGGCTCGGCTTCTGCAGTGGCTGCAGCTAAGAAAGCTTGATGTTTAGCAGAGAAGTTAGTATATGTCACATAATTCGCTATGGGATAGGGAGTCGTACCTGAAGACTCTGATTCAGGGTTGGCTTGAGTGTGAATGGGGTCTTTCAAACATCGAGCAGTGTAGGTCACGCAGGGCTTTAACAAAACAGACGGCGTGCGGTGCCGATGTCCCCTACCAAGTTGCTCTTCCGGTGTTGTTGGATCCACACTAATTTTGTCCTCACTGCCATTAGTTCCCACTTCCTGCACACTTTCTTCATCTCCGTGCTCTTCCTCTCTTCCATCATCATTAGTTTCAAGGCTTCCCCTATCACAAATGTCGGCTACATCACTCCCCCTRTTTTTATTTCCTCTGTGGTTGTGAAAAACATCATCATCAACCACAGTATCAGCTGGTGCAATGGCTGGGACAGGGTTGTCTTCCAGAGTTGCTTTTAGATTAGCGACATATGGAAATACATTCTCATGAAAGACTACATCACGGGAGACAAAATATTCACCTCTTTCAACATCATATACGCGCCAACCTTTCTTTCCGTAGGGATAACCCACAAAAACACACTTCCTACTTCTTTTTCCAAACTTATCCTTGTCTTGAGGACTCTAATGAGCATAGCAGCGATAGCCAAATACTCTCATGTGCTCGTATTGAGGTGGCATCCCGAACAGTACCTCATACGGAGTCTTCCCGCCAAGTACAGAAGAAGGTGTCCTGTTTATCAAGTATCCGGCGGTTAAGGCACACTCCCCCCAAAAACCAATGGGCAAGCCTGCTTGAAATCTCAATGCTCTCGCAACATTCAAGATATGCCTGTGTTTTCTCTCCACCCGACCGTTTTGTTGTGGTGTCCCAACACACGAAGTTTGATGCAAAATGCCATGAGTCTCAAAGTATGATTTCAACCTTTTAAATTCTATTCCATTATCACTTCGAACAGTCCTGACTTGCTTGCCAAACTGACGTTCTGCCATGGCACAAAATTTCTCAATAATATGTGCTACTTCACTTTTTTCCAGTAACAAGTAAACCCACACAACACGAGAATAATCATCAACAATTGTTAGAAAGTAAACTGCACCACAAAAGGCAGGTACTTTATAGGCGTCCCATGTATCACAATGAATTAGAGAGAAACAATCATCAGCTTTATGTTTACTTTCAGGAAAAATTTCCCGTGTTTGTTTTGCTCTGTAACAAACATCACATGGCTTATCTCCTTCAGTTCTACTATTTAATTTATCTACTTTAGAAAGAAAAGATAATATCTGTTTAGATGGATGCCCTAATCTGCGATGCCATAACTCCCATTCATCCATACCTTTTGTTCTATTCGCCAGAACTGGTGCTGCTTCTCTAAAATGATAGACCCCATCACACTGCTCACCCACTCCAATCAGAATCCTCGAGGTTTGGTCCTGTATCACACATAGCTTGTCAGTAAAAGTGACAGTACAATTTATCTCTTGCAATAATTTTGCTACGGAAATAAGGGTGCAGTTCATTCTTGATACAAAAAGCACATGATGTAGATAAATATTTCCACCCAAATGTAAAGTCCCTTCCTTCATTGCAGTGGTTTGCTTCCCATTGGGAAGTCCCACCGAACACGGTGTAATATTCCGTGTATCCATCARTAAGTCAATTTCTCCAGTCATATGGTGCGACGCCCGGAATCAATTATCCAATCAGTAGAATTTTTCTTACCAGAGAGTTTTTCATTAGTCCTGATTTTGTAAGCATCAAGCATGTTTACAAGAGTCTGCCACTACTTCTCATTAAGCCCGTTTAGTCCGGTCTTGTCTCCGTCAGTTACGGCTGCATTAGCAGCCACCTCATGCCCTGCCGATGATTGACCAGCATACGTTTTTGTTGAACCTCGCTCACGTCCGCCAGAGGGTCCACCCCCTTTTCCTCGACCTGCTCCATGCCTGGTCGATGTAACGCGGGGTCTGTCTCCGCACCATTACGACTTACTTGAGCTCTCACTGTTCCGATCGTTATTGGCAGCCACGGTGACCAATCAGTAAGAATTAGTAAGAAACACGACAATCTTTGATTATCCTCTGCTTTTCCAATTCAATCATCTGCCTTTGTTTCGCGCCCTCCACTCTCTCATAAATCTCCTCAAATCTTGTTATAGCTTGAGCCAGCTGTCGAAACCCATCCGCCTCCCCATCTCGACGTCGACTCTCCGTGATCGACCTCGATGGCTCCGAATCCGTGTCGTTCTCTGTAGCCACAGCTGCAGCAGCAACCACCGAATAGTTCCGCCGGAAGAAGGAATCATCGACCGCAGGAGACGGCCGCTTCTCCTTCGTCGACCGAACGGCGACCGATATCAGAGAAGCGTGCGGCCGCGAAGGAGGTGTCTTCCGGTAGAGCAAGGGAAGGGCAAGTGGAGGTGATGGCTTCTTCACCGGCACGGTCGAGCCAATCAGGGGATCGAGACAATAATAGAAAGACCAACTACTGGTTAGGRTCTCGTCCGAAGCCAAAATCCTACCTTTCTCAATCTTGTACTTCTTCTTCAAGGTATCGATCCGGTTCTTGCACTGAACATCGGTGCGACGATTCTTCTTAATGGCGCCATGTCGGACGTTAACGGCGTTAGTGACCTCCTGCCAATCCTTCCGATGAAGGTTCCCGCGGTTGAGCTCGATATACCGATCGCTCCAGGCTTTGATCAACGTGTAGGTGGCTTCCTCACTCCAGCAATCCTCATAGAAGGGCAACGGATTGTGCGACGGGGTGGCTCTGATACCATGTGAAAATCTTTGTGGAGAATTCTATCTCATTGTTATGCAACGTTCAATCATATATATACATACAGTCTACGCCTGAATTTTAGGAGGAGACTCACTTCTAGTAGGAACCTAACCTTGTAATCACATCTAGTTAAAGACGCCTAGGGAACTACCAGGAATCTGCGCCTAGATACWTGCATGAGAGGAGTTCCCATGCAAAATTTCCCAGTCCATGATGAATTCCCAGTACATGACAAATTCCCAATATGTGTAAATGGTATTTGAAAATTTGATTTTGAGTTCAACATTTGATATAATTGAATCAGATTTGGATAATTTGAATCTTTTAATTATAATCGGTCAAATTTGAAAATGATATGATTTGATTTGATAAATATCCAAATTTATTCGATTATTTAATTATTATATATAACATAAGAAGTAATTAAATGTTCTATATATAATTAAATTATATAAATAAAATGTTTAATTTATCTATTTACTAATTATTTAAGATAATTAATTAATTGAATATGAATTAAATCAAATATTAATTTTTAATACTACTAAATATCAATTTTTTTAAATCAAATTTGAATTTAAATGTTACTTGATTCGATTCAAATTCCATCCATTTACACCGCTTATTCGCATGCCTTGGCCATATAGCCTTTTAGGCTGTAAATGTGAAGTGAAGGCCTGTAGACAGTTGGTACTAGACTTGTTCATGGGTCGGGTAGCCCGATGGCCCGGCCCGGCCCGGATCGCACCTCGGTTGGGTTTGGTCATGTAATTAGGCCCGCGGGCCTGACCTCGAGCCTAACACAGTAAGCCTGACTATGTTTCGGGCCGGGCTCGGGATTTATCGAAAAGYCCGGCCCAACCTAACTCAACATTATATATTTTATAAAATATATAATATGTATTTTATATATTATATAAAATATATAAATAATATATATATTTATAATCTAATATATACATTTTTTATTCTTTTCTTTATAATCTCTCTCTATTCAGCCGCTAACAATATGGGCTAAATTTTGGGCTCGGGCATAGGCCCGGGCTTCGAGCTTTTTATGAGGGCCGAGCTCAGGCCCAAGTTGTAAGCCCAATGGTCGGGCCAGGCTCGAGGCCTTAGAAAATTCTATTAATCCAGAATGAAAGCCCAGCCCGAGCCCGATCCCGATCCGACCCGACCCATGAACAGGTCTAGTTGATACAGTTGGTATGGACGGTGGGTCAGGTGCGCAAAGAGAGAGAACAAAGAAAGTCTATTTCGCAAGGAAATAACAAGTGCACTCTCCCAGTCTCCTCTATTGTTGTTTCTTCTCAACGTCAGCATCTTACCCATTWCCCCTTATCTGCCATTCATTCACTCTTTCAGATATGCCAGTTTTAGTATCCTTTGAATCCGTAAACACTCCCACCAACTATGTTGATTGTGTTGAGTAGGTGGTGTTTGTCTGCTTTAGATTCATTCTAAACCATGTCATTACTATTAGGAGTTTCCAGGTAGCCCAATAGCCCTTACCTTAGTCAGCCTTGTCCTGTTGATCGGTTGATGCCGATGAAGGGCCAAAAAAGAGTAAAAGAATTCCCTTCTTTTATTTTAGGACAACAATCATTAATACAATATTTCATCACCTCATTTATTGTCCCCTATTTCTTAGCAAGGATATTTGACATTTTCTTCAAAAGGACATAATCAATTAATCACACATTAACAGTTTCACACGTTTGTCCCACTTGACAATTGCTCGATGTCCCTTTTGGTTAGGCGACAAATGTACATGTAACACTGCTCATCAATAAGGGATCATTTCATAATACCCTAATGTTYTTTCTGGTTGAAAATTGAAATGGAGTTTGTTATACTATAAAGTTATTTTTGCTTGATTCTTCGGGGTGAGCAAATGGGTAGGTTATACTTAGAATTGAAACCTATTTTAAATTATCTTTGAACTGATATTATTCAGAGTAGGGTATGATTCTAAATTATATATTTTTAAGAATTTATTACAGATTTGAGCTCAAACACTCATAGTTACAATGTCTCATTAAGTGATTTAATCATTTATTTTTATTTTAATATTTATATATAATAAATAATATTTACAAGATTAAAATCATAATGACAAATTTTCAACCATATATTAATATACTATGATAATTATTATTATTATTAAAAATCAAAATTTTAAAAGATTTCATTTTTTTCTTGAAAACGAAAAAAAAAAAACAAAAAGTAAATAAAAAACAGGTTAATAGATCCTAAAACCAACCCCAGAACAATAGATCCTAGAACAACCTGATCCATTCTCACCCTTAGCTCTTCCTGCTTTTCAGGTTTGAACCGGTCCAATCCTGAATCCACACCACCTCCTGTTTAGCAGTCGCAAAAACTAAAAAGAAGAGATGGCCCATGCAGGTCTCGAACCTGCGACCTTCGCGTTATTAGCACGACGCTCTAACCAACTGAGCTAATAGGCCCATTCAAAATAAGTTTCTAGACGTTATCAGAAGAAAAAGAAAATATTAAGACGACAAAGGCGAAGAATTAATCTGGCTGCAATCCGCACTAAGAGTCAGAAGATGCCGGGCATGAGATAAGCCTAATATGCCTCGCATCACATCAATCTACTACAAAGGCATCTCTGGCAAGTGATAAGCCTGGAGACCCTACTTATTTGCAGAGATAATAAAAGATTCAGCATAATTCTTCATCTTCTGTCGGGATTCTCTACTTCTATAAACATGATCAGAGGCCAGTTGTTTCGTGAAACACCCGAAAAACGATGCCAAGGGTTGGCCTAGCCCAATAGAAGGCCAAGGGAAAAGTGAGACCGGCAGGCTCTGCCTCTGTGATTGTCTGTCGATGATCAGCCTCAGCCAACTTACTTGTCTCTCCATCATTTAGCCAAGTACATAAAAACCTATATTGTTTTGTCGGTTTGCAAAGTCGTCTTCCTCATCCTCTCGTTTTTTTTTTTTTAAACAAAAAAAGCAATTAAGCAATTGAGAAACCAGTTAAAATTACTTTTGAAGTTGTGACTTGTGACGTGACCAAACCAATATTAATTACCTAAATTAATTAAGGCGCGTTTGTACTAAATTGAAAATTTTTCATCGAAACAAAATCTATTCTTAATTTCTCCTTTTGCTCTTTCCTCGCAACCTGTCCAGAATGCACATGGAGGGGGGGGGGGGCACTCTTAAAACCAGCTGTGAAGCACGTGACCATCTGAAAAGACAGCATTTTTTATTCTTCTACGAAGTCGATTATATTATAAATAAATGGATATCACAACGTTGGAACGAATAACTCCAGCTGGCCCTGACTGCACAGTCTGCGCTTCACAAAGGACAAAGTAACTCTGATATAGGCGTCCATGACCCTCCCTTTCTTTTCCCATCTCTCTCTTCGTCCTCTCCTGATCTTCATTTTAGGCTGTGTTTGGTTTGAAGGAGGAAAAAGTAGGGAAAGGAAGGGAAATTTTTACAAACTTTGCATAAGTTTCTTCCTTAAACCAAACATAGCCTTAACGACACTAGAATGTTCTTCCACATTCATCACAATTCACACAGCAAAGAAAGAGTCAAAGAGAGGGTAGGGAGTCGTCAATAGTCATCATAATCGAAAGAATAAAAAGAATCCAGCAAGTAAAACTGCGATTAATGGTAAAAAACGAATAAACATAATCACCATAGCCCTAATTCATCATCAACATCGACCACCGCCATGGTGATACCCAAAATAAATAAGACATAAAATTAAAAGAAAACGGTAAAAAGGGCAGAATGAAACAAGATAGAAAGGAATAACTACTGTGTCCAACTCTAATATTTCACTCCCGCAAGAGATCTACAGCAACACAGCGGCTGCGAAGATTCCGACAATCGCAGATCCGCCGATGGTCACTCTGTTCAAGGCAGCGTTGTTCCCAGATGGGGATGATGAGGGTGTCTCAGACGGAGAGGATGAAGGTGGTGTTGATATCGGCGTGGTTGGAGCGACGCCGGTGGCGGTAGGAGACGAGGCGGAAGGAGACGGGGATGCAGTAGGAGGAGCCGGTGGAGACTGAACGGTGCTTGGGGAAGGAGCAGAAGCCGGTGGAGTGGTTACGGTTGTCGGAGCAAGAGATGAAGCCGGGGGTGGTGATGAGACCTTGGTCGGAGACGGGGCCGGGCTAACTTTAGGTGGAGGAGACGCTGGTGGCGATTTGGTCGGTGCAGCAGTTGGTGCTCCTGTGGGTGCCTGTGCGATAGCAGATCCAACGACCAAAGCAAACATCATCAGAACCACAGTGCTCGAAGAACCCATTTTCCTCTCTCTCTTCCCACAGCACTAAGAGCGAGACAGCGGAGTAGAGAGCGAAAGAGATGTAGCGCAGAGATACGAAGGTAGAGAGAACGGAGAAGGATTGACACACAGAGAAAGGAAACAGGGCGAGAACGAGAAAGTTGGGGTTCTGGAGTAACAAGGAATTGAGCGTACACGTACAACTATTTATAGGGGGAGTGATGGTTCCTTGAGTCGGTTTGAAGACCTTATTGTCGTTTTGATTTATAAGGAAACCATTCTAAGACCCAAGACTTTCTGCAAATAATTAGCCAACTAAGCACCTCGGCCCCACCACATGCAATTCAATTATGCAAATCTCCACAGACCACGCTCTTTTCTGTTACTGCCACGTCATTTTCCCGAGGATGTGGCGATGTTTATAACCCGTGAAAGCCCAAAAACGCCCTTGGGATCAATAGTTATCCCCTGCCAAGTGTCAATTACGAAATGTAACAAGAGCGGTCGGGGTTTGCGGTTCCCTGCCAGCTAACCCTTTTAGGGTTTCGAGTTTCTTCCTAATTTTTAATTCCTGTCTCCCCTCCAATCCGTAGCAGCCTGGATTTTCAAATAAAAGGGAAGGGAAATGTTTTCGTAGACAAAAGTCTACGGTCTGTCAATAAATCACCGGCATATCTGGGACCAGACGTAAGGACAGTTGCTCGTTCAAAGCCGTTCAACAGACGAGACGATCGAGAGGGCCAGGCTCTGTGCACCGGTCCAATGGTATGGTAGTCTCTGCCTGCCGCTCAAGTGCTCAACTGTTCAAATTCTACCAAAAAATGTAGCCGTTGGAGTTTCAAATTTACAATTAATTTAGGAATATCTCAAATTCTCGACTCAACGTCGGATTTCCAGTAAGATGCCACGTCACGGACACAAAGACATCTCTGTCATTCGATTCGACTTTCTGTTGGCCAAGATTGAGTAGAGGAAGAAGACATGATGAATCAAAGTTTTTAACCAAAGCCCAAAAAACCGTCAAAGTTAAGCTTAAAGCTGTTAGTTGAGGACTAACACTCTAAGTTGTCACGTTGACGAGGTCTAACAGCTATGACGTGGTTTTAATCCATTGGTATCAAGTACTGGAATCATGCATGATTTATAAATGAGACACGTGGCAAGTTAAGCCATACGGCCCATTACCGTTGTACCGGTTAACACAGTCCCGGGCCCAAGATATTGCCTGGTTTTCTTGGTCGTAGGGACCGAGTCTCTCTTTCTCTATTCTCCAAGCGGGTTTCGCCTTTTCCATTCATCAATGAAAGGCGAAATTTCAACGGATCCAGTCCAGCGGGACTGAGCAAAATGATGTTGCATCATCCTGTCCTGCAACTTTCAACTTTGTAAACGAGTCATTCATTATTCATTAGGATAAAATTATTAAACATTTATGCTTTGAAATTAAATATAAAACTGCTGGTAAGTGGTAACTACATTATGTATTAATTTGAAATAAGATTGGCAGACTAACTACCCCAGCTCCAGCTAGAATCCTTGTTATTAGAACCAACTTAAATATATTATTATTGACTTGAGGAGGGCAATTTGGTATTTAAGCCGATTGATTTTCATTTTACTATAAATATAAATATTGCATGTTCCAAACCAATCATAATCTTGTAGCCGTTGCCGCTTGACCTTAAAATAATATGATTTTTAATAAATATATTTATTGGGCTATTTTTTCCAAACAGCCAAAGTGACATCTCACTAACTAAATCGTGTTTCTTTCACCATACGCATATATGAAAGTGGTGACAGACAACGGAGGGTTCACGATGTCAATGTGGACCCTGTACCCGTTGTGTTTCCCCTTCACTTTTTGATTTGCTTCGGCCAAAGCCAAACGGGACCTCTTCACTATCACACGTGTTGTCACGTGGAGATCTCCGTTAAAGCGACTACCTACTACCTGCCTGGAAGTAGGAAAGAAGCTTCTGGTTCGGGTGGTCCCCCTCCGCGTAAGGCGGAGCCACAAGAAAGCTGTAGCCTGTAGGAATAGGATTGGCCAAGCCACCGCCGGCCGCGGCCGATGCCGGTCCTCCCTACCGAAACTAAAACAGAAGTATTCAATTTCAATCAATCTCTATTTCTAAGTTAGTTGAGCAAACCCACCGCGTTCCATCAAAGTAAACTGTAGACAAAGACAAGGTGTGGGTCGCATGGGGGCAAAACATAAGGAGCTCTGGAATCTGGACGGTGCCTAATCCAAGTCCAAGGCTCCAAGCATTTGCATTTGGTTGCTAACCAGCTTTAAGCATTTCAGGGTAAAGAAGTTCTCCAGAAAAAAAAAAAAAAGGTCAAACTTGAAAAAACAGAGCAAACCAGTTGGGTGGTTCACTTTTCAACAATAGCTGGCCTTTTTTACATTACCAAATATCATTCAAGATATTCATGATTCATCTAGAAACTTTTTCGTTTTCTCGATAGAAACATTTAGAAACTAATACATGGTCTCTGCTAATACCAAAGAATAAAGGTTTTTACTCTCTAACCAAAGTTTTTTTTTAATATACACGGCAAAGCTCAATGTGGTTAATTCCGTCCATCCTTCAGTTAGGGGGGAGGGGTGAGTTAAGAGTGGTCAGGTCCCAACTATAAACAGCCATTATAGACGAATAATCTTTGTTTTAAGGAAGGAACGGGCATGATCAACAGATGAAGCTCTCTATAGTCTATACATACAACTGAAATGCCACATCACATGGACGATTATTAAGTCACTAAAACTACATATTTACATATTTTAAGGTATCATAATTTAGGCTCAATTTGGAGAGAGCATAAATACAAGTATGTACAACACAAATATATATATATAAAATAATACAAAATGTAAAATTTTACATTATATATTTGCATTACTCCTTCCAAATTGAACCATAGTGATTTCTATGGCTATGGCTATGGCTATGGGGTTTGAGTTTTCTTTTGGTAGAAAGGTTTGAGATTTTGAGCTCTTAGATTATTTTTAGATAGAATTTTGTTTTGAGGACTGATGATGGGTTGCATTTTCCCGCGATTCCCTTTAAAAGAAAGAAAAGAGAAGGGGGTAAAAAATGGAATAACCTTGCGCATAATGATCTTGTGTGCCAACTGCCAAATGCCAATTGTAAAGGGATGCAAATGGTATTCGATTGTTCAGATTTTGAATTCAAATTCAACCCCTATTAAGAATGATCGAATTCAATCCTTTTATAATTGGATAAAATATGAATCCACCCCTATTTCATCTGATATAATCTGATTCGATTCAATATAAAAATATTTTTTCATATACACTTGAAATTTATATTGGATCTGCTAATAAAGATGGTTTGAATGTTGTGTTTGACTGAACTGTCATATGCTCAAAGTATCATGCAAGTAATTTCCTATTCACTTTGTTCATGAAATACAATGTAAAAGTCATTTTTAATTTATTTTATTAGTAATGTATAATACTTTTATGATTTTTAGAATTTATTTATGCTATTCAATGTCCAATTGCAATTCGAATTCGACTCTAGTCCCAGTATACATTATTGATAAAATCCAATTTGCATTTGAATATAAATGAATCAAATTCGAATAGTACCTCTATTTGATTTGATTCAATCTGTTTTGCAGCGCTAATATGGATCTTATTTGTAGAGCCTTTCCTTTCATTTTTACATGAAGTTTTCTCCAATCCAATTCCCAGGAAACACATGACAAGCTGCAAGGATACCAAAGACAAGTATCCAAAACCAGAAGAGCTAGGTATGCAATAGAATTGAGCTTAAATTGAATAGTTTGGGATTGAATTCAATTAGGCCCAGTTTGGAAGGAGCACAAATGCAAATATGTAGAGTGCAAAACCTTATATTTTGTATTATTTTATTTGTATTTGCACTATACATATTTGCATTTGTACTCCTTCCAAAGTGAGCCTTAGGTTCTATTCGAGTATGAATCTTAGAATAAGTTTGATTAGTTTTTTGCACTCAAATTCAACCAATATATATATTGGCTGTTATATTCTATTCATTCGTAACAAAATTTAGTGGAGAACTTGACTTTTAGTTCTATGTGTTGTTGTATTAGAATAAACGATATTTCTTGTTTATTTCAAATCTGAAAAAGCAATGTTGATATGTCAAATTTAAGCTCGAATCCAAACTCACGAGTTCAAACTTGCAAGTTCATTTGGTTTTTTTCTAACTTCCAATCTAAACTAAAACTTAGGCCCTGTTTGGTTTATAAGAATAGGGGTATGGAATCGGAATCGGAATCGGCTATTCCGATTCCAGCTGTTTGCTTGGGCAAAACGGAATCTCATTCCCATTCCTGCTGGAATGGCATTCCCCAGTTTGAAGGAATAGCCATTCCCTGCCCCTCCCTAAGGAATGAAATCTCATTTCTGTTTATTCCAATTTCCATTCTCATTCCCATTCCTGTCTAAACCAAACAGACTATGGGAATAGGCCATTCCGATTCTAATTCCAAAGAATTCTAATTCTGTTTTCAAACCAAACAGACCCTTAATGAATATTTAGTCAAACTGAACTCAAATAGGAAACTAAGAACATATTCACATAAAGGATTGTTGAGCCAAAACATGCAGGGCTTGATTCGACTGCACCCGTAAAAAGAACTAGACCCTCAAGCATGGTTCTAACTGTCAATGCGTTGGATATGCAAAAATTGCATGTCTAGCACAATACTTTGAACCCTGCCCTTGAGTTAAAAGAAGAACAAAAATCTTTAAATTCCTAGGAAATTTCGGTTTCTTCTTCGGAGATGCTATTATTCCAAATCGGAAGCCTGTAAAAAATTTCTTTTACAAACATAGACAATCAGATTCGGCAACATAGAGGATGCTATTGAGAAGGAAAACAGGATTAACTACTAAAAGATTGTCAGGAGTCAGGATGCTCACAATCAAATAGCGCTGGATAAACTGAGCAAACCGTCTTCAACCAGAGAATGTTCATGAACATTAAGAGGCCAAGGGTTGCGAGTAAAGCAGGTGAGAAACCACCGGGTGGGCTAGAATTCCCAATGAGGGATCATGGGGCAGGGGTTGGCACTTGGCAGGTACTGAGATTGGAGACGGGATGGGCTTCCTACAGAGCGCGCCCCACAGCCCATCCCCTCTGAATTGACTATTGAGAGCATCTCTCCATGACAAGCACGGGAAATGGGCTGTGGAGAGCCCATCCGAACTCCTGACATTGGTAAGCTTTTATGACTCCCCATTCTGCTCTATTCTCGAGAGACGTAGGAAGGATTGGTTTATTTACACCGGTATGGTCCATTTATCTGCCTAGATTTTTTTTTCTTCTGGTTAGAACTAGCGAACCTCTACTTTGGGATCAATTGCAAAAATTAAAAAAAATTAAAATTAAAATAGCTAGCTCAACTATAATGATTAAATAAATTGATAAAATAAAGGGGGTTTTTATACTAGGAGGGGGCTGCAATTCAGATTTCTGAGGTGGATTGCAGTCCACTTATCCCTAAAATAAAATGAACTTGTTATGATTTATCATGTCATGTCAGTTTTTGGACTAGATCACGTCATAAGATTGCACAAACAAGAGCATTTCCTGCATGTGAAACCATCCTTAATTATGGTAAGATGCATAGAATTATGGAAATGCAATATTTTCATGCATAAATCTGCAATTCAGTAAACAACTTCCATCCCTGGAGTCCGTTCAAACTTTGAATAATGCCTCCAAGGAGTGCTACCGTAATATGCAGGTGAAACTCCCAACTACCTCCTGGTACTCCAGAATGGAAAGCCCTGTATCCTTAAAATTTTCATCCCGGGAAATTCATGCTGTTTTCATGGTTTTGCTTCGAGCAGAATTGAAGAATAAGGAGCAATGTTGTATGTACGTTCAATGCCTGGAACGCCTTCTGGAACAAAGTCATCAGGGGACTCGAGATTCGTGTCTACCTGCAATTCATTAACATTATGGTTGCTTAGGGAACTATATTCACGTAATTCAGGTAATACATAGTTGAGATAGAAAGAGAGACACGTCATTATCCTATCTACAACATGCTAGACCAACACTGTCAAATCACATGAAAGTTAATCACAAACTATCATCATCCAAGCCTTACACCAACTATATGTTAGTTACATGAATCCTGTTTTGCCATTCCGTTGTACTTAATTCCACAACCATTGTTCACTTATGTGTGCTTAAATCATTTCTTACTAGGACCCATACCCTTTTGTAGAACAAGTTGCTGAAAGGTTTTCAGAGGCCCAAAATTAAAAAGAAAAGAAAAAAAGAGGCCAAAACAGGCACTGATACTTCAAACAGCCATAACTTTTGATTTGGGCATCTGTTTTCAACATATAATATGTTAAATGATCATCTCAACAAGCACTGCACACTGGGAGATTAATCCTTCGAAATTTGAATTTATTTGCATTTTCTGGAACCAAATTCCATTTTTTGGCCTCCAAATGTTTTTTTCCTAAAAATTTTTCCTTTATAATAAGTTTCATATCTTCGTTGTTTTAGCTTGTTTTGAGTCAGAGTTTGATTTAACCCCAAACATTATCCCACTGGAGGGGCAAACACACACACACACACACAAAAGATCTTCAGCTCATAATATATACAACGAATAGTTTGAAGATACTTTACACAAGCAAAAAGGCTAATTAGTTCTAATATAAAGAAGAAGTCTATCACGCCACAAAGCCGACCTAGTTGCTTCATTCAAGGCAGGAGTATTGGGGGTGAACAAATGGGTAGGTTCTACCTGGAGCCAAATGGAACTGACCCTACCCAATGTTACCGGGTAGGGTCTGGTTCCAAATTCTAGGAACCGACCCCCACCCAGGAAGGTTCTAGGGTTAGGGGTTTACCCTACCCGAACTGACCCAAAGAAGCAGCCTTGGTTGGCCTTGGTAGAACCGGCCTTGGAACCAAACTTGTCTTGAAATAAATCCTAAAATACTTTGAGGGTGTGAAGATTTGAACCCAAGTACTCATGGTGACCTTGGAACTGACAAGAAGACTAGAACCGACCCTAGAACTGATCTTGACAGGGTAGGTTCTGGTTCCAAAATCACCAAACCGAACTGACCCATGCCCACCACTATAGGAGTTCAAAAACTATAAAGTTTCACTCATCACATGCAATATTAGCCAATGGATCAACCACAATGTTCCCTTCACGATAGATATGTATGATATTCCAGTTGATTAGAAAGTCTTCTTTCATTAAAATATCTTTGGAAAATTCAAGTACGATTAGCAATTTTACTATTTCAGGAAAGTTGGGCTTTGGCTATAAACAGACCATTGTACAAGCTCGAATTCAAGTGAATTGAATATAATCTTCTTTGAGTTGTCTCTTCTCTCCTCCTTGTATCCAAGGCTTTCTTTTTAAAGAAGACAATGCTTTTCTTCCTACACGCTTCCTGCTAGCCATCTATTCTTTAGCCCTTTAGCCCCTTCAACATGCAACAGATCATTTCTTATGGGTGTTGTCAATGGTCTTCTATGCACGTGATTCTCATAGAAGTTAGTTTCGTGTTTTATTAATGACATGTAAAGATCAAAGTTCTTTCCAGTTCACTTTATTAATTAAACATAAATTAAGATAATTTTAGTTTATTTATTTAATCACATATAATGTCCAAATCCAGTCCAAGATTGACCCGAATCTAACAAATATGATGCAATTCAAATTGGAATAAGGATCAAGTTGAGATTCAGGTGGGGTTGAGCATTATTCGGTTAAAACCGAAAATTTCGGTTTTTGGCTTTGGTTTTCATAATTAAAAATTTGGTTAACCGAATTAACCAAAATTCATTATATAATATATAATATATAATATGCTATATATTTATATATTAATATATTATATATAGTATATTATAATGAAATTCAGTTTCATAATATATAATATATATTATACGTTATAATATACAGTATTTTATATATGTTAATGAAATTCAGTTTTAACCAAAAATTGAACTGAAAATTTTGGTTTATTCGGTTCGGTTTTTAACCGAATGCTCACCCCTAGATTCAGGTATATCTGATTTGAATCCAATCTATTGACAGCTCTAATAAGTGGGCATTTTTGGTCTATATCTACAATTCCGTTATCTGCAAAGCTTCATTGTTTCTATGCATGTCCCTAAAATGTACTGTTATAATTCTGTACAGAGAAAGGCTTATTTGATCAATCATATTTCACCCAAGGTTCTTCAGTTTATATTTCCCACCATCTTATATATTTTGATCAACCTATTTTTGCTCTCTTTGCATCTTTTGGTTGTCTGGTTTATGCATATTCCTGGTCCAAGTCCAAGCTAGATCCTAATTCCTACAGCCATTCAAAGTATTTTCCGAAGTTAAAGCTTCAACTCATAAGGGAGTATGGGTGCTTTCATTTTGTTTATATAGTAGAAATGTTTTGTCACCATGGATATCTTCTTTTCTGACTTTGACTCCACTTTTCTCCTTCTGGTGCCTACTTTGTAGGGGAGAGCAGTTCAGAAAAAACTAAATCATGTACCTCTCCTTGTCTTATGCCTGTGCCTATGCCTATTCCTGATGATGTTTCCAATCCTCTTATTCTTGGTTTTCTACAGGAAAGAAATTGCTCATGCCGACAGATAACTCACAACACTAATCCTTCACAACCATCAGAATTCCAATAGCTAAATCCAGGTATTCTTAATGTTCCCTCCATGGTTATGTATTTAATGAAAGGGAAAGAAAATAATCGGAGTCCATTCCATTTCCAAAGTTACATGCGGAGGAAACCTCCATCTATAGTTTTCAGCACCAAGAGATTGTGGAATAGCACAACCACCTTTAAGGAACCTCTGCACAACCTTATTTGTAAAAAAATGAATAATGGACATATCAGATAAGTGTTTCTAGATTCAAGACAGAACCACAAGGACACAATGCGATCCAATGTTCCTCCACCAGCCGGTAAAAGATGCACCATCCACATGCCCCTATTCCTTTCAAGCAACTCACAAGAGTTAGTTTTTAGATTAGCCACCTCCCAGAAAAAGCAGGGATGGTTGTTGCACTTCATTTTTTTTATTACTTGAAAGGGCCATTGACAGTGTTAAAAAGGATCTCTCTCTCTCTCTCTCTCTCATGCTTTGTTCTTACAAAACCCTCTAGATCACTGTGTGAAGAAAATCTAGGTGGCATTACTAGATTAGCATGAAATCATGGCAGTATAAATTTAGGCAATGCAGAAACATACATGGCCTATTGCTATTAGTTCTATCTGTTCATATAAGTTTCTCAATTGGTCATTCAAATCTACTCGGTAAAACTCCTACCCAATGATATAGAAAGTATTGACAGAACAACTAGAGTAAATGACTTTGGGAAACTGAATAAAAGATGCTACAAATGAATGGGAAACGGATAAAAGCATATACATTAATGAGTTCAATTATGAATTATCTGCAGATAATGGTTCTCCAAGTCTACCTTTAGCTGTGATTATCATCACTTTTCCATGACCACTGAAAGCCAGACAATTTGGCAAATTAACAAAAAGGATAGCAGAAAAACATACCACCCGAAACCAGCGTCTTTTTTGTGGTGGTGAGGGAATTATGGCTCTTAAAAAGTAGTCATGTGCATTGAATGCCATATAGATATCTCCCCCAAGATTATCATGAAGCCTGAAAATTTATTTCATCAATGAAAAGTTTTAGGTAACGATACCATATTTTTTCTTAGTAAAAGGCATGTCAAACACAGAACAGATTCCGATTCTCTAATTAAAGTTGATTCCAATCCATCCATTACCTTGTTTACTATATGTATGTTATATATTTATTAATGTTGCATGGTCATATGGATATTCCATCTATACATTGTTCAGTGTTGCTCAGTTACTACTGGAATAGCATGTCGAAGTCCTAAAAACAGCACAAGCCCCTTCTATCTTATATAAAAGAATTTGTAAGTCTACCATTCATAGTTGATTTAGTTAATTGATGCATGGCAGGTGTTTATCTTGGTAATTTACAGAAATTGCAAATGTAGGGAAGAAAACCAAGAAAAATGGACTAAGATCTATACCTTAATTGTGAGAGAAAATGTGGAGACAGTAATTGACTTGTGGAACTAACAAGATATTGATTAACTTACAGAAGTATCAGGATACCATGCACATGGCTACCCATTTCTCAAAAATATAGCTTGGAGGTAAGCAAGTAAGGAATATGAGTTCATTTTGTCAACATACAAAATCTGCACTTGAGAATTTTTCTTACGTAAAGGCAAGGAACTTGCTCTCATAATTGTYCCAATTGTCTTCGTGCCATGTCACATCATTCTGCAGGAATTAAAAGGTGAATATCATATTTCATTTATTTCAGAACATACCTGGAAATGAATTAGATTTGGAAAGTGGATCTGCAATAAAATGAAAGGTCTTCCAGCATATTAAAGATTGAAAAACAATTCCTTTTGAGGTGGTCACTGGGCATCACTCTCCAAATGGAAGCATGGGATTTGTTGAGTGGGCCGATTTATGTTTAGTTTGTTTTCTTTTAAATTAAGAAGTTGTTGGGCCTTGGGCCCATTAGTTTTTTATTTTTAAAAGAATTGTAAGTACTTAGTTTGAGTTGCCGCCCTACTAGGGGCATCTTTGTAATATCTCATATTTAAGTTAATTATAAATAGAATGAGGGGCTGGCGGCTAGGGTTAGGCATTAC